ACATTTACCACAAATTAAAGTTATCTTATATTATTAGATATATTATTATAAAATATGCTTTGGTTAAGGAGTTATTGATACTTCAAGTGCAAAATGATGATATAAAACCATGATAAAAATGCACTTTTAAGTACTAATCAGTAATCTTAGCTTGAACTTGTTCTCGTACAATTACATAAACAAATGGTGATTGCTGGCTCTATCCAAGTTACGTGGTCTTAATGATCAAGACATTATAACTCGCTTTTATATCCTCAATTGTGGTGTTGAAGATATTATAAACCTGAATCTAGCCTCCAACCACAAATCCAAATTCAGTTTTAGATGGGTCGAAGGATTGTCCTTATATCTCTTAAGCAATTGGGTGTTATATATTTTCAAAAAAAAAAAGTTAGCAAATATATATAAAACAATAACTTAAAAAATGTTCAAATCCAACTTAACACAAACTTTTAGGCTCGACTATCCACGCATTACTACATCCTTTTCTATTTGTCTTCTTTTCGCATTTGAGTTTAACAAGAAGCTCCACCAGTTTTGGATCGCGCTTTAAAACTGTAGCATACAAAAAAAAGCTACTTTTAATTAAAAAATTTCATATAATACACTTTGAAAAAAAATTAGTATATAAAACATGATCTTACTTTTCAATTTGCATGTGAAATAAATATAATGGATCCACTGGCGTGTCTGATTATGGAACCATAATCTTATTGGTCAGTTTTTTTGAACCTGACTGCGACTGCATACCTTAAAAAATGCTTTAACATCACTTGTTGGATATAAACATCCCAGGTACCCTTGAAGACGTGTGGAGGTTTGAAACCCTTCCACATAACCATGTATTCTTAACCTGAAAGAATTTTATCTTTTGCATTTTTTTATAGGCTTTACACCAGGAATTACGCAACTTAGTTCTTGAAAAAGAAATCAAATAAGATAATGAAAAATAAAATTTTAATATTTTAAAGATAATTCATTACAATTTGAATTCAATCTTATCTAATGACATTGAGAATCTCTCACTCTTATGACTATGTCATTGTTAGCCTTCTCCCAACAAGATTTTTTCTTATATGTTAGTTTCATAAATAATTAGTTTATTAAAGTTTAAAAATAAACCAAATTAAATGTTAAAAAATAACTGTTTATATATATATACTAACCTTGAACTTTCCAAACCAATCAATCATAGGCTTTCATTTAAGGCTTTTGGAAACCCAACTTTGTTGAAACAAAAACATATCCATCGATAATTTTATTGCTAATGTTATCGTTGAGCAATTTTAAAATTTATAAACTTGAATTTCTATTTGTTCATTAAAATTAATCATTCAACTCCATGTATGTTGCTAGAATTAGTAGTAGAGTCAATTGTCTTTTCCACCATACTTTTTTAAGCAACATATGGTTTTCTATATACAAACTAGCCAAGTACTTTTTTATGAATTATTTTTATAAAAGACACATCGTAACAATATATGGATCGATAATTTTTATATTTTAACACCTCTTACATATATATTTGATATTTTCTCCACTAATATTCTTTAGATTAGATAGTACATATTTAATAAAACCCTTAACCCTATTACAATATCCATCCAGCATAACCCTTTGAGTGAAACTCAATATATTTAAGAATGATCATCCATTATTTATATAAAACCTATATAAAATATTAATGATTAATTAATAAGGTGAACTAAATAAATTATCAGTATCTAACTGATCAACTATCATTGGTTCCAGTCAAATTGATTCAATCTATTTTAATAGTGCCTTTTAATCATTATCAATTTTCATAAAAAAATAAAATTTATTCAATTTTTTTTAAAATTCTTAACTTAATAATAAAATCGATAAAATATGAAATGCACCCATCAAATAACCCATTATTTATTTTATTATAACACATTTAAATTACAAAATCTAACTCGATTTCATCAAATGATAAATAAATATGATTTTTCTAAATCTCAACTAAACCTTAACATGTACAAATCATACATTCATAAAACAAAGTTCTTTAGAAAAAAGCTATAAAACAAGTAAACATATAAACAAACTACATATACTATGCAAAAATGCCAAAAAATTAACATAAAAAAGGGTTATAATAAAAAATAGATAGGTTTGCTTACTTGATATGATAAATATTTAAAAGAAGTTGAATCAGGACATGGATACTGAAAAATTAATTATTGAGATTGCTGGATTTGTGATGATTAAAGCTAAATTTATGACAAAATAAAGGAGAGAGAAATGTGTTGTCACCACCGTATTTAATAGTTTTACAGATGAAAATTTAAGTCAGTATTTACACTAATAGTTTGTCTATGATTATTTTATCAACGAGATAAAAAATGAAAAACATTTGTAAAAAAAATATTACCAATAAATTTAGTGACAAAAATTAACAAAGGTGAATTATCATCATTAAGTTAGTTGAAAATATTGACATATTAGATTTGCTGACGAAATGAATGAGAAAATAATTACCTTATTTTTTATTATAATTTGAATTCCATTAGTAACTCCCTTGATAATCATTGACAAAACTACTTTTATTAGTGATTATGAATGAAACAATGATATTATTTTCTGTTAGTAAATGTCATGGTAATGCATTGATGAAATTTTTTCTATCGGTTTTTCGTTGGTATTTTATAGTTTTCTAGTAGTGTCAAGTCTTAATAAATGGTTAGGATAAATTAATCATAAATTTATTAAAACTATATCTAATTCATATATAAAGTGCACGACCTAAGTTTCTTATCTTTAAGAAAATAAATAAATTAAGATAAAAAAATCATAAGAATTTTTTTCTTTATTAGAGGATTTGGTGGACCTTAACCTCATCTATTTAATGAAAATAATTATTTTTATTATTTAATAAATAAGATAGTGTTAGATTACTGTTTCAAAATAGAAATGATAAAGTCAATTGGGATAAAAAGGACATGTTTTCCTTTTTTTTTTCTATTTTGAAAGAAAAAATAAACCATCATATATATATATATATATTTTTTTTTTGTTATAATCAAATATATTTATGTTATTTTTATTATGAAACACCAACCACACTTAATCTATAACTGACTAACTTTTTGACTTGTCTTTCATCACATGTGAAATAATGTTTTTTTAATAAAAAAACTAATATATAATTTTCCAACATTTTTTAACTGAAAAGCTTAAAACTAATATATAATTTCCAACATTTTTTAACTGAAAAGCTTATGCATATATTTAATTAAATAAATAGAGAATTATTTGTGCCAATAAACATTGAAAAGCGTTTAGTGATAGCTAATGAAAAAACTGGAAAAATGAAGAGGTAGATGCAAATAAAGATATTTGATCTTACAATACAGATTGTGTACACATTTTTGTTTAGTACTTGTTTTTCTTAGAATATATTTTTTATTTAATCAAATGACTATTCATGCTAATAAAACATTAAAAAAGTAGTTAAGATAACTGAAGATTAAACTGAAAAAATAGAAACATAAAAGCATAGCAAGATATTTGATTTAACAATACATACCATATATATAGTTGTATTTAATAAATTTTTCCTAGAATAAACTTTTAATGTAATCAAGTAATAACAAAAACAAACACACAGGAAACAAGAATGAATACATTAAAAAAATATTATATAAGATTGCTCATATTGAAAAAAAAAATTATAATTTTACGTGAAAACCAAATGAAAAATAAATACATTTAAGTAAAGACTAACTTAAAAAGTTAAGATATAGAAATTATACATGAGCCATAAATTTGATTGTATTTAATAATGTTATTGTTTCTTCAAACCAATGTTTTTATTTAATAAAATGATAATAAAAAACATATAGGATAGAGATTGAATAAAATTAAAGAGAGAAAAATTTAAGTAGGGTTACAAAGAAAGAAAACTGTTTTCTGAAAGAAAAAATAATGAAATCTTATCTATAAATTAAGAAAAAATTAAATCATATTCTATAAGAAAAATCATAAAAAATTATTAAACATTTATTAAAATAGAAAAAAAAGCTAATAAAAGATGATATTATAAGAAAAAAATAAAATAATAAATGAAAAAAGTGGCCTAGATGCACAAGCCTGACCAAGGTGACCTAATATGTCACTGAGCTTGCATGTCTGAGATAACTTAATATTTATTAAGAGCTTGAAGATGTATTGTTTCCTTTTAATATCTTTGAAAAAAATTATAACTAAGCGATGCATCACTGCTTCTCTATAGATTTTAACTGTAATGGTGATTATAAAATCATGATTGATGTTTTTTCAACTTGAAAATCTTTTTTCAATTTATTTTTAAGTTAAAATACCAATAAAACACCATGTATATTTTGATAAACCTTGTATCTGACTTCCAAAAACCCACTCAAAATCCTAAAATCAATTAGTAATAAAAAACTTCTCAAGCTCAAATCTATCATTTCTAGAAAAAAAAGAAGCAAAAAGTACCTACTTAAAAATCACCTAATGAAAGGAACCATCAACATGAAAATCTATATTTTTTTATGGTTGGAAGCCGTATTAATTAAGATTTTCTCTCTTCATTATTGGATTCCGATAACAATCTCTTGTCTCTTGAATTAGGGAGAAAAAAATAAAATTTTGAACTAAAATTGTATTTTTTAAAATATGAAGAATCATATATTCATAACTTAGAAAGCATGAAGACCAAAATGAACTTTTTACCTTATTTTTTAAACTACTTTCAATTATCTCTCTTTCTATTTTTTTTTTAAATTTCAATCCCTTATCTTTTAATATTATTCTTGCACAACAAATCTCAAACTTTAATTTGACCCTAAAAAAATACAATTGGCTAAAGAAAAGTTTGAAGGAAAAAAAAAAGCCACCGTGAAAAGATCATCATGCATCATATTTCTTTGCTGTATTGTTTTTGCCGCAACAGAGTTTCTTATAATAATCGAGAATACACTCAACCTTAAGCTATATTCCTGTCTTGCTATCAAGAACCATAACGTCCTATCAATTACCCTGACGAGCAAGTAAATTAAGGAGTCACCCATCCACGAGCAAGACCCTTGACTAAACGAAGAAAATCTTGATCTAGTAAAGAGCCACATCTTCACATCGATGTACCCTTTATTAAATGAAGAAAATCTTGATCAAGTAAAAAGTAACATCTTCATATTGACGTGTCAATAACTACGTTCATAAATGAACGCAGTGTCATCACATGCCCACGGTCTCTTTCGAGAGTGCTTTTAAATGGTGGTTTTTGTCAAGGATTCTAACCAGGCAAGGCAGCCCAAATAAGCAGAGAGACATACAGCTTGAGTGCACTTCTTTTGCGAGAAGGCGCCTTCTATATTCAGGTACATTTGTTTCTTCAAACAATATGCATGATCCATGAATGGTTTCTTCAAACAATATTCAGCTTGAGTTGAGATGCATAGTTTTTCATCTCCACGCTCAAAATGTAGGAATGGTTTTCTGTGGCTAAGGGCTTAATGGGAGTTAAGATGCATATATAGTTTTTCATCTCCACGCTCAAAATGTCAAAAAAGAAAAGGAAAATAAAATAAAATTCAAAAAAGTAAAAACAGTGGAGAGAATAATATCTGAGTAGATTCGTTTTTCAACTTTCTTATTGCCGTGCAACATACCATGAAGCTAGGTTTTGATTCTGCAATCTGTTTTTGCCCACTATTCAGATTTTTTACCCCATAATGTGGAGTTTTTTGTTTTCCCATTCCAACTTTTTTAGAGTGTGGCGTGCATTAGCGGCAGCAGCGCTATGTCTCATATTGTGAAACCTCATAGCTGGAAATTTCTTTGTTTTGGTTACAAGAGTAGGTATTTTTAACAGATACAATGGAGTTCTGTGTCTTGATCTCCAAATCTTTAGCCTTCTCTTTCCAACAACTTTTATTTTTCGTATTAATTGGATAAAACAGAAATTAAGTGGGGTGTTTTTAGCCTCCATGTTTCTATCTGTTTCTTCAAAATAAATCTAGAAAAGGAAGTAACTAAACTAATTAACACGCACCGCTAATTATTTTCTATGACCATGTAAATGCATGCTCAGGTAACTTTCGAACTAACAAACTTTGCTTGAATTTAGGAATCTTTTTTTTTTTTTTAAGTGTCAATAAAGAAAATCTAGCTTTGACAGGTTCTGTTCTTCATTTTGGCTGTATTTGAAAGTAAATTATTGAACAAGACAAACAAGTGGCAGTGATGAACAAAAATGTATATGTGTCTGCCTGTGGCATGCATGGTTCAGAAACTGCAAGTCATGGTGGTGTCTTGAGAGGGTCTCCCTTACATTTATTGCCTGTTCTGACAATTTCCCCATACATGTACTGTCATCATGCGTGCACCAGGGTCCATGATATTTTAGTCAGAAACAACACCGACAGCTGTGTTTTTCATTGATTGTCTTCACGTACATTTGCCTGCTGTGTTTTACTAAATATACAGGTAAAATAATATTATTGAGGTAGTTGAAACATTAATGATGTTAAGATTAGGTTAATTAGATCGATAAAAACGATGAATTTTGGCATGCACTCCTTGTTTTGATGTAGACTAATTTTGGATATGCCGAGTACAGAGAAATTATACTGTATAATAGTTGTTAGTTAGAGCATGTTCTTGGAATATTTTCACTCAATGCTAAAGTCATATATATCTTAGCCTGGACCGCCATGGATCCTGTAAAGTCATATGCATCAGTACGTTTTGTCGATCCCTTGCCTCTTGTTATGATCCAGCCAATTCCATGGTCCTCCTACATTAATTTAGTGTTTCGTTTTCTTCTAAGCCTATGCTTTCTGGAAGCAGTTACAGGCCATCAATGCATGCTCAAAGTACTGTGATATATTTACAGTGACCCTGGCTAATCTAATAATTCAACTAAATTATTTGTTCATGTTGTCATGAATTTCAAGGAAGCTGAACAGACAATGGGAGCCAATAGAGTGTTTGCCTCCAGCGGCAAGCATGGAGGAAAGGAAAGCCGCATCAAGAGAATGCCACATGCGAAGCCTCCGTTTACTCTTGGCAAAATCAAGAAGGCCATCCCGCCCCATTGCTTCGAACGATCCCTTCTCCGCTCATTCTCCTACGTGGTTTATGATCTGAGCATAAGCTTTCTCCTCTGCTACATTGCCATCACATACTTCGACCTCCTACCATCCCCGCTCTCCTGTGTTGCGTGGCCCATGTACTGGATTCTCCAAGGCAGCATTCTCACTGGTGCTTGGGTTATTTCTCATGAATGTGGTCACCATGCATTCAGTGACTACCGGTGGGTTGATGACACCGTTGGTTTAATCCTCCATTCTGCGCTTTTAGTCCCTTACTTTTCCTGGAAATACAGCCACCGCCGCCATCACTCAAACACAGGGTCCCTTGAGCGCGACGAAGTGTTCGTTCCAAAGCCCAAGTCTCGAATCGCATGGTATTCCCAGTACCTAAACAACCCACCAGGCCGAGCTTTAAGTCTTGGTGTCACGATTCTGCTAGGCTGGCCCTTATACCTAGCCTTCAACGTTTCAGGCCGACCCTATGATCGCTTTGCCTGTCACTATGATCCCTATGGCCCCATATATTCTGACCGTGAAAGGCTTCAGATTTACATTTCTGATCTTGGCATTTTTGCTGCAACTTTTGTGCTTTACAGCATCGCTGTGTCTCGAGGGCTGGGATTTCTGATATGCATTTATGGGGTACCGTTACTTATTGCTAATGGCTTCCTTGTCACCATCACATACTTGCAGCACACTCACCCTGCATTGCCACATTATGATTCCTCTGAATGGGAGTGGCTTAGAGGAGCTTTGTCAACCATGGATAGAGACTACGGGATCCTGAACAAGGTCTTCCATAACATTACAGACACGCATGTAGCTCACCATCTCTTCTCTAACATGCCACATTATCATGCAATGGAGGCTACGAAAGCAATCAAGCCAATACTGGGCGAGTTCTATCAGTTTGATGATACTCCAATTTACAAGGCCTTATGGAGGGAGACCAAAGAATGCTTGTATGTTGATCCAGATGACGGAGCTCCTGAAAAAGGCGTGTTCTGGTACCGGAACAAGTTTTGATCCTGCTGCCTGCAAAATCATGCTAGCTAGATGCAAGGGTAGGGTTCAATCTGTGTAGCGTGTTGCTAATAAATGGGGGAAAAGGTGTTGTTGAGCTAAAAATGTAATGGACTTGTAATGAAACTCATCAACTTATTAATTCTTATGAAAAAAACATAAAAATCAACTTATGAATACTTCTCTTCTTAGCTGCTATCAGCTTTTGTTTGTAGACTACAAAAGCGATGATGACTATATTTTTTTGTGGTGTTTCCTCTGTCAAGTTTGTCTATAAAACCTCGCAAGAAATTAAATAAACACAGACGAGCACAGAAAAATAGGAGGGAGATGAGAAACAATATTCATGTAAAGGATAAGATAAACCCCTTCATCATACTCTTCAACACCAGTACAAATCCTCGAGGAACCAGCACTTGTTATAATGACTCATCTGAGCCATCTTTTGAACCTGGAGATAGGCCTCCAAATCCTGAGGCAAAACTTGACTAAAAAAGGGGCATTCCGCATTAATGCTCCGCAATTTTCCTATTTCCATTTATGCTTATGGTTATGACTCATTTTTAAACCCTTTTATTTTGATGAATTCTTAAAATTCTCAAAACTCAATAATATTTTGGCATTCATATGATTTTTCTGAAACTACAAGGTGGCAGAGTCAAAGGAAACTGGAGGACCGGCACCATCGCCCCTGAAAACAATTATTTTTCCAAAGAGTATATAAAGCATGCTGTAATGACTGCATCTCTATCTTCATAAAATCTGTCTCCGATCGAAATATGCGTTGAAAAAAGTATCTTGATATTTACAATCTTGCAAATAAGTTTTATCCCAAGAATTTTATATCAAGAGTAATTTCATTTGAGATCTTGATAAAATTATTTTGGATTTGTTATTGTATTTGAGAATTGAGAAAAGTATCAATGCTTAGAACAACTAGGAAACTGTCTGTACTCTTATTGAAAAAATAAATTGCTAAAAAATTTAATTCTGATTCCTTAAGCTAAATTTCTGAATCGGTCACCATACCTTCCCTTTCGGAACCATATTGTCGTAGCTGTGTGGTGAGAGGGCAAGCCTTGCGTTTGTTTTTAGTTTAGACAATTTGCCAAATGTGCCATCAAGCATGCTTTAGTGCCCATAACATTTCACTGAAAAACAAATCAAACTAACCAGACCAGTAAAATCTATCCCTTAATTTTTTTCTAAAAATAATTAAAATAATATTATTTTAATAAAAAATCTTTAAAAAAATTAATAAATTGAAGGTATGGTTTTGACTAGATCAAACTCACGTCAAGAGATTAATTTGAGTTTTTTATTTGGTTAGTTGTGATTTTTCATTCTATTTTTTTAAATCGAATTGATTTAAGTTTTAAATTGATTGAAACCACTTCACTTGTCTTAGATTTTACAATTATGATTATTCACTTTGTTTTTCATTAATTACCATTTAACTTCACCTACATTTCTTAATTAACTGTTGCAATTTATGGAGGAGGTAGAAGATTATTATTTAGGTGGTTGAAATATTAATGATCTTGTCTATATATCCTTTTCTGATGTTTAGATTAGGTTAATCAGATCGCTCCTTTGGCATGTGCTATTGGTTCTGATGTCCGACTAATTTTAGGTATGCTGTGTACAACGCATTCATATCACTATTTAATAGCTAATAATTGCAGTGTATTTTTGGAAAAATTTAACTGAAGTTTCAACAAATTTTGTTAAATTCATATATACACGCAGTAGGACAACGAAATGTATAGAACTACAAAATTGCATTATAAAAATTATAGATGCCACCCTCGTATGGGGTGATCCAGAAAAAAACACTAGGAGCATTAAATTGTTTTTCCTTGTAGGTTGGTGAGTAAATTAACTTAGATATTTTTTTTATTAAAAATAATTTTTTAAAAAAATTTAGTGTTAGATTTATATGAAATTAACGGAATTATAAGTTAATCCAGTTTATTTCAAATTTTAAATTGCAGATTCACGAATAAATTATTTTGACTATGATATTTCAATGACTATCACAAATACTATTCACTTGATATATATTTTTATATTTTTATTGTTTATTTTTTTTTAAAAATTAGTTATGAATGTTTAATTTGAACTGATTTTATTATAAAAATATTTTTTATTTTTATTAACAAAGCATGATATGTAGAGAATATTTAAGAGTTTAGTAATGGTTATTTTTTAAAATATTTTTTACTCAAAAGATATTAAAATAATATTTTTTTTTATTTTTAAATATTATTTTAGATACGAACCCATTAAAAATAACATAAAAATATATAAAAATTAATTTAAAGTAAAAAAATAAAAAAAATTATTTTTTTTTAAAATAAATGTTTAAACACAAAAATTAACGGTGATAGTTAATTTCTTCCCAATACTTCAGCCATTTTCATGGTCCTACAACATTTATTTTTTCCTTTTCTTCTAAGCCTATGCTTTCTCGAAGCAGGTACGTAATTGCCATTAATACACATACATGCATGCTGTGAAATCAGATTATAAGAATATGATATCTGCTAAATCATGGCATTCAAGGAAGCTGAGGACGACAATGGGAGTCAATGGAGTGCATGAAGGAAAGGAAAGCAGCTTCAAGAGAATGCCAAACACGGATCCTCCATTTACACTTGGAAAAATCAAGAAGGCCATCCCTCCCCATTGCTTCCAACGATCCCTTATCCACTCCTTGTCCTATGCTGTTTATGACCTCTCCTTAAGCTTTCTCTTCTGCTACCTTGCCATCACATATTTCCACCTCCTACCATCCCCTCTTGCCTACATCACATGGCCCGTCTACTGGGTTCTCCAAGGCTGCGTTCTCACCGGTGTTTGGGTCATTGCTCATGAATGTGGCCACCACGCCTTCAGTGACTACCAGTGGGTTGATGACACCGTTGGCCTAATCCTCCACTCTGCACTTTTCATCCCATACTTTTCCTGGAAATACAGCCACCGCCGCCACCATTTGAACACAGGGTCCCTCGAGCGCGACGAAGTGTTTGTCCCGAAAACCAAGTCCCGTGTCGCATGGTATTCCAAGTACCTAAACAACCCACCTGGCCGAGCTTTAAGTCTGGCTGTATCACTTCTGGTTGGCTGGCCCTTATATCTAACCTTCAACGTTTCCGGCCGACCCTATGATCGCTTTGCCTGTCACTATGATCCCTATAGCCCCATATATTCTGATCGTGAAAGGCTCCAGGTTTACATTTCTGATCTAGGCATTCTTGCTGCAACTTTTGTGCTCTACAACATTGCTACGTCACAAGGGCTGGCATTTCTGGTATGCATTTATGGGGTACCGTTACTTATTGCTAATGGTTTCCTTGTCACCATCACATACTTGCAGCACACTCACCCTGCATTGCCACATTATGATTCCTCTGAGTGGGGGTGGCTTAGAGGAGCTTTGGCAACCATGGATAGAGACTATGGGATCCTGAACAAGGTGTTCCATAACATTACAGACACGCATGTTGCTCACCATCTCTTCTCTAACATGCCACATTATCATGCAATGGAGGCTACGAAAGCAATCAAGCCACTACTGGGCGAGTTCTATCAGTTTGATGATACTCCGATTTACAAGGCCTTATGGAGGGAGGCAAAAGAATGCCTTTATGTTGAGCCAGACGACGGTGCTCCCCAAAAAGGCATGTTCTGGTACCGGAACGAATTTTGATGCTGCTGCCTCTAAAATCTAGCTAGCTAGATCACCCCCGAGCAAGGGATCAGTCAAACTAGTATAATTGTGTTGCTAATAAATGGGGCTGAAGGTGTTGTTGAGCCAATAATGGGATATATAGACGTGTGATGAAATTCAGCTTCTGAGTACTTCTCTTTTTGTTTGTCAATGCGGGCGTGGTTCATCCGCATTTCTAAATTAAAAACATCAAAAAATGATATTTGGAGTTTGGAAAATTTGTTCTTACTTTTCAATTAGCTTTTGTTTTTAGACTAATGACGCAAGATTTCCAATCATCTATGATTATAATGAAATCTACGAACATAATTTAGTCAGGAAAATACAGAAGAAAGACTGAAAACCACAAACAATAGTGGCAAAAGAATTTAAGAAAGAAATGTTGATCCCGCTCATATCTTTCAACTAATAACAAATAAAATCATGATTTGATTTTCTAGCATTCTACTAGTTAGAATACAATTAGATTTTCGTCAAGCCTATTGCTTCTTTATTTAATAGCTAATTACCAACCAATTATATTATTTACAATCCATAAATAAAAAAAAAGATATGGCCATTGGTGTCCTTATATCGAGATTGAGTTTATCTCTCAATTTTTTTAATAAGCTATCCATCAACATTAAATTAAAATTCACAAGAAAATGAAATTTTTATATAAAAAATAGATATTTTTCTATTCTTTATTATAATGCTTCTTTTTAGTTTTTTTTCCTATTCATAAGAAAATGAATTTTTTATTTAAAAAATAGATATTTTCTATTCTTTATTATAATGCTTTTTTCAGTTTTTTTCCAATTGAAAATTAACAAATATTTTTTTCTAGTTTAGTTTTTCTATTTAGTAGTATTAGAATTTTTTAATTTTTTTTTATATAGAAGTTTGTATTACAACCTTCTTGGCAAGTGAAGACAAAGAAGAATAAAAATTATTTTAATTGTCTCCCTGTAGTTATGTAGTTATGGTGTTTTTGGTTTTTAAAACTTTTAACATGTAATAAACCCTTTAATTCTTCGCTCTCGTATGCATTAATTGGAATTAAAACTCAACTATTGATGGTTATTTTGTTTTGCTCTGTTGCAGAATAACTATAACTGAAGGAGAATATAGAATATGACATACTTGTGTGGGAGGTGATAGTGGGGCTCCTTTTGGAAAGGAAAAAAAATCTAATAACTAGTGTATTGTTTTTATATATTGCATTTAATATTGTTTAAAATTCTAGTAGTGAGATTTATGATGGAGTGATTCATTGCATTAGAAACTAGGGGTGTTCAAAAAAACTGAAAAACCGATTAAACCGAGAAAACCGGAAAAAAAAACCTGAAAAAACCAAACCGAAAAAAAAACCCGATTAAACCGATTAAAATTTTGAAAAAACCAGCC